CAGGATGGACATATCACCCAGGGAGTGGGAGGTAGAGTTAAAATGGTTTGTGACCGGAAGGTGTTGTCGTTTGTTGCGTGCAGAGCACAGGTGGGAGTTTACCATGTACAAAGAAGGCAGGCCAGCGGTTGTGGCGAAGATAATGTGTTTGGGGAAACTGTACTGTCAAGATTTCGTGGAGGGGAATCGTTTCTTGGCACTTTGCCATCTCCTCCTTGGCGATGCTAATTTTGCAAATTGCCACAGGCTGGAAGGATGCCTGGGAGTAAATGAGACGTGTGTGTGTGTGTCTGTGTCTGTGTGTGTGTGTGAAAGACCAGAAAAAGAGAGATCTGAAACTCTAACTGAAGAAAAACACACACCACAGGCTGCTCGGGAAGGGTGCACACAAACACAAAATAGCCCCTGTCTCAAAACCTTACCAGACATTGGCTGTGAGGGAAGAAAAGCCCAGGCTGATAAGATTTCCCAGCCCACTTTCACATGAATTCCACCAAGTGTGTGACGGGAGAAATGAACCACAGATTGTGCTAGTTCGTACCAACTTCTGGCTTGCCCCAGTCATCTCTGTGTTCCCTAGTGATTTGGACGTGATTCCCAAACTGACTCGCTCTAGCTTTGCTTCATAGGCTGAAAAGATTTCATTTAGTTAGCTCTGCTGCTTCGTACTTTTAAATAGTATTGATTAATTTTGTAAACTGATCTAATTATTGCTTTAAGAGATAACAAGGTGTAGAGCTGGATGAACACATCAGCTATCCTACTATCCTACATCCAGTTCCTACTATCTCTAATTATTGCTCTGACGCTGATTTTCTTTTGCCTCAGCAAGATTTTAATGTTTTCTTATAACCTTACATTCTATCAGAAGAAAATTATGTTTAATATTGCACTAAACCCGCAAACATTCCTGTCCTCAATAGGGGAACACAGCACATCAGTGCAAAATGTAAGGCTGAAGCATTCACAATAATCTTCAACCAGAAGTGCTGAGTGGATGATCTATCTCTGCCTCCTGCGGTGGCCCCAGCATTCAGTTCGCACTGCATGACATCAAGGAATGGTTACAGGCACTGGATACTGCAAAGTCTATTGGCCTTGACAATAGTCCAGCAATATCATTGAAGTCGTGATCCAGAATTTGCCGCATCTCCTAGCCAAGTTGTTCCTGAACAGCTACAATTCTGGGGTCAACCAATCTGGAAAGTTGCTTAGGTATGTCCTCTTCACAAAAAGAACAAATTTAACTCAATTACTGCCCCATCAGTCTACTCTCAATCATCAAAGTGAAGGAAATTAGTAAAGTGATGGAAGGCGTCATCAATAGTGTTATCATGCAGAAACAGTAAGAACTGCCATTGTTGGAGTCAGAGATAACACAGTGTGGAGCTGGAGGAACACAGCAAGCTAGGCAGCATCAAAGGAGTAGGAAAGTTGACGTTTCGGGTCGGGACCCTTCTTCGGATGCAGTGCAGATCTAGTATCCTCAACCACTCCTCATATAACAAGCCCTTTATCCCCGGGATACTTCTTGTAAACCTCCTGTAGAGCTCCTCCACTGCTGGCACATCATTCCTTAAATATGGGGCCCAAAATTACTCACAATATTCCAAGCATGATTTGACCAGAGCCTTATAGAGTCTCAGCAGTGCATCCTTTCTCATGTATTTTAGCCCTCTTGAAACTAATGCATTTGCCCTCCTAACTGCCAACTGAACCTGAATGCTAACCTTAAGAGAATCCTGAATTAAGACTCCTAAGTCCCTTTGTGCACCATATTTCTGAGGCCTTTTTCCATCTAGAAAATAGTCTTCTAGGGATAGATGGCAAATGCTCATCTTGCCACTAATGCCCACATCCCATAACTGATTAATTCATATAAATACTATGGCTACAGTAGCAGGTCAAAGACAATATCTTGCAAGAAGTAACTCAGCCTCTGACTCCCCAGGCCTGCCCACCTTCTACCAGGCATGTCAGGAGTATGATGTAATACTCTCAACTTGCCTGAATGAGTGCGGCTCCAACAACATTCAAGAAGTTTGACACCTTTCAACACAAAGCAGCCACTTGATGGGCACCACATCTACAAACATTCTATCCCTCTTCCACTAAGAATCAATAGCAGCAATGTGCATGATCTGTAAAATGCACTGCAGAAATTCACCAAAACCCCTCAGACAGCACCTTCCAAGCCCATGACCATTACCATCTATAAGAACAAGGACAGCAGATACAAGAGAACACCACCACCTGAAAGTTTCCCTCCAAGCCATTCACCATTAAGACTTGGAAATATATTATCATTTCTTCGGTGTCACTGGTGAAAAATCCTGGAACTCCCTCCTGAATGGCATTGTGGGTATAGGTACGGCAAACAGACTGCAGCGGTTCAAGAAAGCAGTTCACCACCACCTTCTCAACGCAACTAAGGATGGGTAATAAATGATTCGATTTGATTTACTTATTTTCATGCATATTTTATTACAAATGCAGTGAAGAAGTGTTGAATTGCGTCGCCACTCTCCGGCACCATCTTAAAAGACAGAAAAACAAAACAAAAACAGAATACAAAGACAGAAAATAAAGCAAGAAAGTTCATCTTTACATTATATTTCCTTCTTGTTAAGTTGCCTTGGAATGGCTTCCGCATCCTATCTGAACCATGAGCCTGGATCTGGACTCCTCCACCTCAATGCTGAAACTGTCACGCCCAAGCGATAAACAAACATGGCCTGTATTCCACAGTTAGAGACATTATTAGTGGTGGAATGTGAAAAGGAGATGTAAAATGGGTCTAAATTTTGGTGTGAAATGGAAAGAATGGATCCTCTCAACTAAGAACAAAGTAAACAAGACACAAACAAGACAAGACAAAAGAAAGACCAAATGCTGGAGATCTGAAACAAAAACAGAACTTGTTGGATGAACTCAGCAGGTCAAGAGATAACAAGGTGCAGAGCTGGATGAACACAGCAGGCCAAGCAGCATCAGAGGAGCAGAAAGGCTGACGTTTCGGGCCTCGACCCTTCTTCAGAAATGGGGGAGGGGAAGGGGGTTCTGAAATAAATAGGGAGAGAGGGGGAGGCGGATAGAAGATGGATAGAGGAGAAGATAGCTGGAGAGGAAACAGACAGGTCAAAGAGGCGGAGATGGAGCCCAAAACCAGCCCAGCTTGTCCCCGCCTCCCTAACCTGTCCTTCCTCCCACCTATCCCCTCCTCCC